GAAGAGAGTGTTTCTTAGCTTAAGTAGATAAATGAGACTAAATGGGCAGCTCCTGTCCTGAGGTGAGATGAAAAGGCAAAAAGGGACAGGAGCTGGTTGAATGAGCACAGGAAATCCGGGGGTGGAAAGGAGGAGTGTGTTGTCACATTATAGGGAGAGCAACTAGGGTCACATAACAAATGTGTGTTTAAATTTTTGTATGAGAAATTAACTTGAACTGTAAACTTTCACTTAAAGCACTATTTTTTTTAAAAAGTGATTACTTTTATGTCATTTGTACAATACTATTGTTTAAAATTGTACAGCACTTATTATATTTTTAGTAACAGCAATATAGATATTTGAATATACAAATATGTTTAAATAGTTTCAGTTAATAGAAAAGCAAATCCCACTCAAAAATAAATACAGCCTAAATAATACAAGGCCAGAGAGAGTCCTATCACAAATAAAAGTTCTCTGTCACTCCGGTGGCTGATGTATGATATACACAAATGATTAACAATGAAGACCAGAAACTAACAAAAACCAAATATCTATCATGAACCATTTTTAAATTAGAATGACCACTAGCAAAAGAAAGTAGATACAGACCCATGTCAAGTGATAAGTAAGAATTTACCCCAAGCATACATTTATTTGGATTAAATTTTCCCTTAAAAAAAAGCACTTTCATTAAAATAAAATATATATATATTTTAAACAGAATTACTTTGAATACCCCTAGAAATCAATAAGATTTTTTAAGTGAAATAAAAATTATTTGGTAATGTGGAATATATGAAAAACAATTTCAAGTACGAGAGCAACAGTGAGTTTGAGTCTATTTATATTCCACTAACAACAATGTCAACCTGTAATGGAATGAGAAAATTGATAATTGTTGATTGAATATTCTTAAATAAATATATTATCTTAGGAAATTTAACTTTATTGGAAATGAGATTTGTCAGAGGAACAAGGAGTCTTATTACCCAATTTGTACTACCTGTCCTATTGTCAATTGACTGAATTCATGGATGATTTATCTACGTATCTTTTATTGCAGTGGAAAGCTCTACCATTGTGAATCCACCCTCTTTATTATGACTATACTTTATGAAGTCATAGTACCACTGAGTTGGAAGCAAACTTACAAGTCATTTAATTCAATCTTCTATCAAAAAAGGGAAGTGTACAACCTCCTTATGATATGTATGAACATTTTCAGGAAGAGAAAGAGAACTCAGTATTAAATATTGGCAATTACTACTACTGTTGCCCAATACTCATGGCTACACAATTCTACTTTATAACTGAGAAAATAAATCTTCGTATAGTTTCTAATCACTTCTGGCTCTGCCCTAGAATGCCAAACTGAATCCTATCCTTGTTCAACATGACCATGCTAACATTTGACAATAACTACAGTCACCACTCATCTGCCAGTGGAAGCTTGCATGTTGCTATGATGCTGAACAGTTTTCATTGGAGCATCCCAACTAAGACTAACTTGGAAGAAAACCTGTGATATACTTCCAAAAATCAGCCAATGAGAACCCCATGGATCACGATGATCAGATTTGCAAACGATCATGGAGGTGGCACAAACCAGGTGGCATTTCATTCCTCTGTGCACAGGGTTGCCATGAGTCGGGGGCCAAACAATGGCAGCTAACAACAATAATCATGCTATCCATGCTTTCACCTTAAGTCTTCAATTTGACAGACAAGATAGTACCAGTTAATGTTTTGCATGTGGCAGTTCTTCTAAACTCTTCATCATTCATGCTACCTTTTTTGCACATGTTCTAATATTTCAGTGTTCTCTCAAAACTCAAACTCACAGACTAAAAAACAATATTAACATTATATTACAAAATACAGGATAGCCAAGATTGTCTAAACAACTCCCAACTATTTGAACAAGTAACAAATGTCTAAATGTTGGTGTGTTGTAGTACTCAATCTTCAGCATTTGTCTCTTTGCTGTCTTTTTTCTGTGGGTGGATTTATGCTCTGATGATTCAAGAATCTCCAGCTCCTCATTTTTTGAACTCCAAACTCATTAAATATTCAACCTTCCACCTGACATCTCCTTTCACCTTCAGTCAAAAATTTTATTCAAAACAGAATACTCGTTTCTTCTCCCCCAATAAACCTATACCAAGTGTTCTCTGTTAATGACACCACCATTCACCTGATTGCCATGCCAAAAACTTAGGTAGCATCTTTGATTCCTCTTTATCTCTCATACCCACATCCCATTCATCAGTAAGTGCCATCAGTAACCACTTCTAACCACCTCCACCATTACTACACTAATCCAAACATTCATTGTCTCTCTCCTTGACTGCTTCAATAGCTTCCTAACTAGTCTCCATGCTTCCATAGTGGTCCACACTTTAGGGGCGGGTGGGGGGAGGTAATATACTAGAATGTGAGTGGGTTTGGAAGAGAGACCTACCTGATTTTCAGTCGCAGCACCACCATTTATTGAAAGAAAGGCCTTGGTAAGCACCTTGAATTCTCTGAGCCTCCGTTTCCTAAATGGTGAATTGGTACTATTAAAAACTAACTCAAATGATTCTTGTGAGAATGAAATAATTCACACAAAGTGCCTTGCAAATAATAGATGCTATGTGTTTTTTTTTTCAATTCTTTATATTTTTATAATTTTCAAATTATCCCCATGCTAACCTCTAATTTAAAGAGCTGAATATTATAGTTATTAAAGTAAAAAAAAAATCTTAATTTCAATATCACAGCATTAGTGACATCTGGTGGAAAATATAAAAGTTACAACGTAGAATTATTACAGCTATTCTGTAATAATTCTGTATTCGTTTAGTAATTAAATTTTAGATACTAAGCAACTAAATGAAAACATAAAGAAAAAAAATTAAATGTCTATGACACCTTATTGTGCTAATTATTTTTTTGGGGTCTGTATTCTAAAATATACAGAAGGTTAACAAACATAAGAAACTTGGGTACATTCTAATAATAAAAATAAACGTTTAACAAGCATTTGACTTTATTTAGTGAAAAGAATGATTGAAAATGCAGATATAGAGCCATTATGCTGTTTTGAGTCTCGTTTTACACATTGTGTGCCACAGAAGTCACTTCCAAAGTTTTCAGATCAAAATTTACTATGGGGTGTCCTGGGGAATAAATATCTCAAAGAAATAGCCATTTGTGCTTCAGAGAATATGGAATTAAGATAAAACTGGGAAATATATGCCATGTGATTTGAGACACTGAGGATGGAGACAACAAATGATAGTTTTAAACGTGAGCCTTAAATAAATATCACAAAATCAAATCCTCTGAGGTAGGGAGGGGTTTTAATATTTGTGACCAAAGAACTACTGTCTGCTACAGGGCAAATTATAACCATCAGGCAAAATCTTGCCCATCAATTGGTTTTTGTTATTGTAACACAGACAGGTTCCTTTGTTTATGTATTGTCTGTATCTGTTTTTGAGACAGAATGACAAACCTGAGTAGGTGCAACAGAACCATATACCTACAAAGCCTGAACTATTTACTATCTGGCCCTTTACAGAAAAAGTTCGTCAACCCCCGATCTATTAGATCACTTTCCTCATTCACATGTCCCCTCCATCATCTCCACGTGTACTTCCCTGTCTCACTGAAGTTTGGCTGGCCATGAGACTTGCTTTGCTTCGTGGAATGTGGGAAAAATGTCAGTGTGCAGGTTCTGAAGCTAAGCCTTAAGAGTCTTACCTTGCCACCGCCCCTCTGACGGTAGAATGAGGCATGTGGAACAGAACAACTTCAGCTAACCTGTTGAATTCAGAATAAAAGCTTATTGATACCCCATGGTTGTTTACTATGCAGTAAAAGCCAACTAATACATAAGATTTTTATACCTCTGCTTGAACATTCCCACAAAGGCTTGACTTCTCAGATTGATGACACTGGGAGAAAGATCCTGGAGCCGAGGTGTAGCTCAGTCCCTTCTGGGCTCCATTTCAGACTTTGATGAGCTCAACGGGAACATGTTTTCATTCCTCTCCCTATGGTAAGCAAAACTGAATTAAGAGTCCAGGCCAGGTCTAGAGGCCAACCAGACTCTTGGAATCTTGGCGTCTCTATGTTTACCATGGTGTAGAAGCCTGTCACAATTCTTACAGCTGTTTGGTTTTAAATGTCTTCCCATAAGGTGAGCCTAAAATGTAGTAAGAGGTTGGGACAAGTCCAATTGGAGTCAAAGACCAAAGCTGTTTTCCAATGTAGCTTTAACAATAAAGCTCACAGCCTGACTCTTATTCAACTCCAACATGTTTATTTCTTAATGGATACATAGCCTGGTCTTTAGAACCCTACAACAGTAAATAGTAACATGCAAATATAAAATCGAAAAAATTAACTCTGTTAACAATATTAGCTGAGATGAAGTGACTAAAGTATATGCTCAACCTTTGAAAATGTGATTTCAGAATTTTACATTCTTAATTCTCAAACTGAAATGCACACAAAGCTTTCCATTGACACTTCTTGAAACCATCCAGCTAGGTCATTTGGGTAAACACTGGTGGTCTATTTATTACACAGAAATATAGAATCCACAGTTTCTGTCACTGAGAAGTCTAAAGCTGCCCCAGTTCTCAGGTTTACAGCCTTTGATTCCTTATGCAGTTAACCTTCTCCCATTAAACCTTCCCTAACCAGTTTTTGCTATTTTCAAAGCAAGTGCTTAGCTGCTGACGAGTTGGTACTATAGAGTTGTACCAGTAGATCACATGGCAGAAGTCCTATTATTAAAACTAATTTTGAAAGAGAAACATTAAAATCCCGAGCATTAATTTCTGCACATGTCTCTTAAAAGGAAGAGAAGTCAGCACCATAATAAATCACAAATTAAAATAGGATCACTTAATTTGCCAAATAAAGACATGAATGCTTGAAATTTTAGTGTTATCAGTAATATGTGAGCTCCTTTTGGGGAAGAACCACGTCTTATTATTTCCATTGTTTACTACATAGGCATTAACGTTTCTTGAAGGCTAAGCAGTTATTGCTTTCTATAAAGATTTTCAAACATATTTCCAAAAAACAGGACCAGAATTTTCCTCTCCTTATTTATTCCAATGCTCTATTACTGCTTTTCTTCTCAACCTGTATTTCAAATGTTAGAGGTTATGAACAGTCTAAGAAACGAATGTTTTAATCTTAATACTGTCCACTTCATATTACACCTAATGTTGTTTGGAAACCTAGAGACTTTTGATTATGCCTAATTCAACATCACTTCCATTTCTGCATTAATACTTTTCTTATTTAGGAAAAGACTTGTGGATGACCCTTTCTAGTCACCTGGACCTCATTTAGGTAGCTTCAACAACTCCTTAGGTGATGGGCTCTCTAAGCAGCATTCGCTGTAGCCATCATCAAATATTGGCACCTACTTCCCAAGCACTGAGATGAAAGAATGTTTAAGACAATGCTCTTTATTCTTAACAAGTACACAACTGGATCCAGGAGATATGATTCATCAGGTGAACTAATGAAGACAAAGAAATACATAATTAAATGAACATGTGTGGTTACTTTACAGTCCTCTGCAATGTATTTTCCTTTCCCTCATAAGATTTTTAGCTTCAGAAAGTCCAGGACATTGTTTCATTCATCCTGGCACTTGCACACAGTATTTTTGCACATTAACAGACGCTCAATATGTAACTGTTGAATAAATGGATACAGACTGTGTATTCACGTAACAGTGAAAGTTAAATGAGTTAATACATATAAAGAGCTTAGAACAGTGTCTAACACTTCATAGCTACTTAATTTAATTATTACAAAATGAGATGAGATTTAGAACAGAGATTATGAAAGACTTCTTGGAAATTTGCTTCAAGCTGATCTTGGAAAAACAGGTGGGAACTGGATAGAAGGAACACATCTGATGACAATAATAATACAAGCACAGGAATAAGCAAGCTGTGTAAGTATACAAAGAAAACTAAGCTGACAATAAGAAAAGGCCACATAAAGGATACAGTGAGAAACCTTACACATAAGGCAAGAAGGTAAGGCTAAGAGTATAGAAAGGTACTTCGTGGTTATTGTTAGTTGCTGTCAAGTTAATTTTACCTCATGGCAACAACTGTGTACAGAGTAGAACTGCTTCATAGTTTTCAAGGCTGTGAAATTTTGAAAGAAGATTGCCAGGCCTAACTTCCAAGTTGCCTCTAGGTGAGTTTGAACCACCAACCTTTTGGTTAGTGGTCCTGCATGTAACCATTTGTGCCACCCATGGACTCCTAAAGGTACTACCATCCAACATTTGCTAAACTGAACTAATTCCAAATGACATTTCTCTTTTTATACAAACAACCGGGGCTTATTTTAAATCAATTGTTATGAGATTAAAGCAGTGTAATCAAAGCCCAGTAAACTGAAAGTACTTCAAGATTTACTCATCTTTGTATGCTTTGGACCTACACCCTAGTTAACAGAAAAAAATCATTTGCTATACTGAACCATTCTAGCTACCATTTAACACCAGTATCAAAGTCTTTGAAGACAGATTTAAAACATACACATTTAACTTCACCATTGTCATTTAAATCTTCACTTTCTCAAACATAAAAAGAGATTTTCAAAGAGTTCTCTATCAAAGGAAATTCATCCTTCATAGGTACAAATTGTATAAATTAAAATCAAATAATTGGCAGTTTTTTCAACATGGGAACTATACATCTAAATAAATGGAGGAAGGACCTCAATATTTCCTTACTTACGGATTATATTAGTTATTTTCAGGATCTAAACAAAAATTCTAAATATTCAAACTTCTTTTGCTGTAATTTACATTATCACCCTACCTCTATTCTGACTCAAGCTACTTGACCAAAATACCTGATTTAGGAAGGTATTTAGCTTTGTAGTAATAGTTTTGCCAACTACAGTTGCCACCTTCAAAGGAACTGACATTACAATGTTGACGAAATCTGCCGGCTTCCTTTTGAACGCTGTGCAGTATTCTTCTGTGCTAATCTATTTAGCTGACTGTATTAACAAGGGGATAATACCATCATCTCCTCTAATTCATGATGTCAACTCCATGGAACATTAAGCAGGTACACAAAATGGATTATGCACAGTTCAGTAGAGTATAATGTTGTTTTCCACATCTAAAAATTAACCAGTGAAATAAAACATATCAACTTATAGTTGACTTCATTTCAGGAAAACACATTGAGAATTTCAAGTATACTATTTTTCTCAGCTCATCCCTCAGTCATTGACAGGAATTTTGTAGGCCACCATGCTATTTACTTTGTGGATAGTAGTAGTGAATGAACAAAGACGGACTTCCTCAGAATTGGTAATGAACTGTGGTCCTGATTCTTCCCATTTTTCAGGTACAACCAAATCTTCGTCTGTATAAATCAGTAGATCAAATGAACCTAAATTGGGAATAAAAAATACATTAAAGTACACTATTTTTTCAAATGTAAAACAACCTTCTCTGTCTCTCATTTTTTGAACCACTCATAGTGTTAGGATGGGTTAGCTTGGTCTTCAATCATTAGTTAATCTCTTTTCCTCAATTAAAATATATTTTAATCAAAAAAATATTGTACCCATCTATTTTATCTTATGAAAAATGCAGGAATTTTTTTCTTTTGTAAAGAGGAAACCATTAAAAATATTGTAATGAGTGTATCATCACATGGGAAGAAAATCAATGTAATCCATAGGAGAGCTAACATCTTGGTTTGTTCACTGCTGTATCCCAGTACCCAGACCACTGTTTGGCATATAGTAGGCATTCAGTAAACATCTGATGAATGAGGGAGTAACTAAGTTTGAAGAGCAAGACATAATTTAACAGCTGAAATCATAATTACATAATAATAACATATAGAAAATAAAAATAGCAAAAGGAATTACACCAGAATGGGTATTGTGAAAGTTTTCATTTCTTTTTTCAGTATTTCCCCATTTTTACTTTTTGCTTTATAATGCTTTTTCTTCCATTTATATTACATGATACTGGTAATTAAGAAAAAAATTTAATAAAGGCTGATTCTTAAAACAGTAGCTGTCTTTTCCCCACAAATTAAACGAATGAGAAGTTACATAAATACTTACAAGAAACTTCCAATAGTGGCAGAAATGTTACTGTAGCTGTGATCTGTCTGATCACTGAACGGATTTCATCTTGGATAGCTTTCTGAGACTTTTCTCTGGGTGCACTATGAAGAAACCAAATCAATTAATATTATTTCAGGTTTTAACGATTAATACATATTAGTAACTAAGATTATTTACCTGCTTAAGTGCTTCTGAAATCAAATAAGTAACGCATTAAAAAGAGTTAAAAATAATGAGTAAAAGTATTTTAGGACCTATAACCTAGCAGGCATAACTTAAGTATCCTTATTTATTTCATTTATCCTTTCAGTCATCTTTTAGAATCAGTGTTAGTATCAGCATCAGATCATTTACCATCAGATGACTAGAAAATTTGCCAACCTCTTTAAGTTAGGAAAACTTCAGTATCTCTTAAAATAACAGGTGGGATCGAAAATATTTAATTAGTATTATCATTTTGAATTTTAGTAATGCCTATAAAGTCTAACTCCCAACTACCTCAAATAAAATATTAAAATCTTATGTCAAATTATTTTTATAATCTAAAAATTTCCTGAACTAAACTAAAGCCTTCAGAAGCACAGTACGTTTCATTATGAGAAAGAACTATGGTTCTGAGTTTGCAGGTAAGTACGCCTAGGACAATGCTAGACATCAGCATATAATGACCGGCATTTCCCATCCAGGAGTCTTGAGCCTTCAGACATTTACTAACATTTATGACATTTCTGTCATGAACATGTCTTACAAAGTCCATGATATTAAAGGACATACAGCAGAGCTGCATTTTTAGCTGGGGGAGAGTCTAAGAAACTCACCTAGATTTAAGCACATTCCTTAAATGGCCCATCTAGTCTATCTTGTATAGTTTTGAATACTCCATCATAAATACTAAAGTTTAGAATTCAATGATATAGACTTAAGGGCAATTATGTTAGAGAATACTATCTATACAAATCAATGATGTGCTAAAATGAGCACAATTCTTTTCCACAGAAGATTGAAGATTAAATTAAACTGACATTTGAAACAATTCATGCAATTTACTTTACATGAAACTGGTTCAATATATTTAGAACTCATCTAGTAATGAAAACAAGTTCTGGAAAAGACATACCAGAGTAAAAATAATTTCATACTTACCTGTCATCTTTTGCAGTCTTGTCACACTCAATATCAAATTGCCATCTTTCAAGGACCTCACCACTTTCAATATCTGAGATGACTACCACCAGTTTCTGAACATTTGTGTAACCAATCTGCAACACATAACAAGGCATCTTTTTTGGTCCAAGGCATTGCAAATCAACCCTTACCTTCTCAGGACTCTCTTCCTATCCTCAGCAAACTTCTACCACTGGAATGTTGCACCCCCTCCCCCCTCAGAAAATTTGTCCCATAAATATCTAGCTCCTGTTTTCAAATTCTCAGTATTTCTAGCAAGTATAGTATTGGCTGCTGAGGATACAGTGAGCATGAGATATTTTCATGCTCATCCAAGGTAAGAGTATAGGAGACAAGCACTGAGCTAATCATCACACCAACAAATGTGAAATTACAACTGTGATGACTGCTATGAAGCATAAATGGTACAACACAGAGCATTTAAATAGTAACAACTGACTCACTCAGGGAGGTCAGGGAAGGCTTAAGCTTAGCTCTGAGGATTAAACAGTTTTAAATATGCAAAAGGAGAGGGAAAAAGGTACAGGCCTTAAATACTCAAGGGGAACAACACGTGACCAGAGGACCGAAAGAATGCCAGTACAACTGCACTGAAGACAGCAAGAATGCACAAGGTAAGTTTGGCCAGACCATGCAAGGCCACGTGGGCCAAATGAAGAAATTATACTTCAAGAACCAGGGAAGTCATTTCTGTGTTTGAAGAAGGACATGATATAATTAGATTTACATTTCAAAACTATCATTCTGAAAATGGATTAGAGGGGATCTAGACTAAGAGGGGATCTAGATGCTAGTCTCTATAGATCCCTTACCAAAAGGTTGCTTAACAAAAGGGTGGCAGTTTGAATCCACCAGCTGATCCTTGGAAACCCTGTGGTGCAGCTCTACCCCGTCCTATAGGGTCGCTATGAGTTGGAATCGACTAGATGGCAATGGGTTTGGTTTTCAGACACTAGTTCCTTCACTTAGTTTAAGCAAGATGAGATAATGAAAGCATGTATGAGGATATATTGATAGAAGTGGAGAAGCAGACAGATTCAAGAGATTTCATGGTGAAAATTATCAAAACTTACTGGATTAGCTATGGGGTTAAGGAAGAGGAACAAGTCAGTAATAGCTCCCAAGTTTCTGGTTTGTATCACTGGTTGGATGGTTAAGCCATTCACTGCTAGGAAAGAGAATTGAAAGTGGAGCAATTTTGGAGACAATCTTAAATTTAGTTTTTAATATGATGAGTCTAAGTATCTTTGGGATAATCGTGTAAAGAAGCCTTTGGATATATAGGTTTGGAGTTAGGAGAGATTTGGGTTAGATATAAAGAGGCAACTACAGGAAGGTTAACAGAAGCTATGTACATGTCAGAGATCATCTAGAGAGATTATAAAGTGAGAGGAAGGCCTCAAGATTGAGCTCTGAGGTTATCCTGAAAACTGATACAGTATATACACGAATCAGCAAAGTTTTCTGTAAAGAGACAGAAAATAATTCAGTAATATTCAGTAAATATTTTAGATTTTGTGGGCGACCTAGGTCTCTGTTCTGTTTGCAGATAGTACAAAAACAGACCACCCACTGGACCCTGGCATACATCAACAACTTTCCATCAAAGGTTAAGCTCTGAAAAGGAGAATGGGTGGTAATCTGAATGAGACTTAGCGTAGGCAGTAATTTTTCTTCTTTTAAAATTGGAGAGAGATGATGCCAATGGGAAGAATCCCAATCAAAACAGAAGTAGAAAATATGACAAGAAACAGGGTAAAGTCCTTGAGAATGCTAAAGGCAATGGGATTCAAAATAGATAAACAATTTGCCTCTAGGAACAATTCCTCCAATTTAACCAAAATAAAAGAGGGAACAAGAAGTTAAATAGGAAAATCTAAGTACATCTGAGGTGGAATGTCATTTGTGTTCTCAAAAGAGATAATCCAATAAACCAGCAGTGCCTTAGGCAAAGCTTGCTTCTCCATCAAATTAAGATGAAGACACACATCTATAGACACAGATCTATAGAGGTTATAGGCCAACTGACCTGCATGTAGCCTTATGAATGACTAACAGAGACTTAGCCCTGACCCTCAACTTTGGATGCAACCTTGGGACAGGTAGGCTACTCCTAATGATGTGCTTCCTGCTTGCACCTGAGACTAAAGTCTATCCCCACACCACCAACAGCGGTCTCATCTTGCTATTCTGCTAGCACTGATCTAATAAAGCATATCTTCTTTGAGGTTGAGAAATTCTGTACTACAGAATAAATCCTATCTTCCTTTGCTTGTCTTTTCACCACTGCTTGAGATCGTACCTTGCTGACCTGCAGAAGTATCAAGGGATTCTACTCATGTAGATGTTAACGGTAGGGAAATGTTACTAGCTTATCTAGAGGATAACGGAACTTGAAAAGAGATATCAAGTTAACAAAAAGTTCAGATAGCTATTACCAGAAAGGCATATTAAAACAGAAAAAGTAATAAAAATACAATCAAAACTGTAATTTAAAAAATGAAGCTACAATTGAACATGAAAAAGTTCTGAAACAACAATTAAAAGAAAGATTTCTGAATTTAAAAATTCAAAAGGAAAAGAATGGCCACTGTTAAAAACCAAACTAGTCTTTTGGAAGAACAAATGGGGAGAAACAAATTGAGAAAAACATGAAAGGGAAACTATCAGAAATTCTAGAAGGAAAAAAAAAGAAATGGAGAACAAGTATTGGTACAACAGGTAATACAGCAACTTCCTGAACTAAAGAAAAAATTGAGTGTTCAGGTAAAAAAACTGAGACACAGGCAAATTAAAAAGAAAAAGGGAAACAGGTGAAAAAATAAGAAAACTCTACTGAATGTTCTGTTACTTAGTATTCTTTTTTTTTAAGTTTAGTCTCCAGGTTTAATACAATTTTATTTTCCTTGCTGTTTCTCTAACAATGACTTTAAAATCCTAGTGGCTACAGAGAGCATCAGGTTAAGAATTTATAGTGGATATTTTCTCAAACAGATAATGAATATTATTATAATTATGTTAAGTTCTAACTTGTTCCATTTGGTTACACGAACTTTCAAACTACTGCAAAAACCATTTCTAAGGGAGTTGATGGAGACATTTATCAACCCTTATCAAATTTCTAACATCAAAATACTCAGCCAACTTGGAATGTGATGGAGAAAAGGATTTCTCTCAATTTATATACTATTTGCTTTCTCCCAATTGAAAATCACTATATTTGAGAAGGCAGTGTGTTTCACACTTCTATACAGGAAGCTATGACAGAAAATGTGGATCCAAGAAACGCTGCAAAACTCAAACTGCTTTCAATTATTAAATATCTTTTAGTTGTTCCACCATATTATTTAGGTGGTTAATAAGTTCAGGATCGGTAGTCACAAGCAAGGTGAGTCCATATTTTTGCACTCGAGTAAAGGTTTCAGATGGACATATGCCACGCTGATATAAAATGCTGTTAATACCAAATGCTGAAAGCAAAAGAAACGTTAAAAAGTCATTATCATTTGCAACTACAGAAAATAAAATATATTTAGATGTGGCTATAGTTTCATTAATACTCAAACTTTATAAATGCCTAAACACGAGTTGGCTTGTCTTACTGAAGGCAGAGTAGGTGTGTACAAAGTGGCATTAAATATCCATAAAATCTTGCTTCTAGGTAAAAGAAAGCAATATAGGCATTCGCGTGGCAATAAAAGAAAATTAAATGCCAAAACGCATTACCCTACCACTGCCATATTTCATCTCATTGTAATCCTAGGCCAAATTCAGATTACATGGTTAGAAGGTATGGAAACAGGCTTGGACTGATTGGTCAACTGCTCCAGACAAGCTTCTCTTCCTCCTTTTCTCCCCTAGTGTCCTGCCAGGCTCTATTAGAGGTTGTGGATACAGCTGGCCTGGTCGGGAACAATTCTATCCAAACAAAGCCTGATGAATTGTGGCCTGCCTCTGAATCAACGGGGGGGCAGAGGCTGGGTAAAAATACACACAGGGTCCCACCCAACTAGCACCAAGTTGCAAGGGGGTGAGGATTCACACTAAAGACAAGCTCCAGGTGAAGCCGCTACACCGCGAAGCGGGCCCCCGCAGCACTGAGGCCTTCTCCTCCCCCATCAGCAACGCTGCCGGAGCTAGGCGCCGGCATCCGACTCTCCGCTGACTCCTCGGGTCGGGCAGACGGCGCGGGACTGCTAAGGCTTGGTGCAGGGCCGCTCTGAGCCATCACGGCTCCTAGCCTCGGAAGCGGAGCTGCGGGCCTACGGGACGGCCTGGGCTCAGCTCTCCCCAACTCTGCCCTGCGCGAGGATGACTTATAGAAGAACTCGGCCACGATTTCGGCGCTCCCGTGGAGGATAATGCCCTGCTCCCGGGTGAGCTGCAGCGCCATGGCTGGGCCCACAGACGAAGGCGCGCGCTTTCATCGGGTAAACAGCGGCCTCCGCGGCTCTTGCAGCAGTTGCCCCCATTCGTTTCAAAAGTGACAACGCAGCCCGCCGTCGTCCTTTGCGTAGGTGCCACGAGTCTCTTGGTCTCGCCCCACGAGCGGCGTCCTGCCCTTCCTCTCCATTCTCCCGCGCCCCCGCCGAAGCTGCGTTTTTGCGCAGGCGCGGTCGGTAGACGTGGACTCGTTACTCAGGTTTCCGTCGCCGGTAGGTCAGAGCTCTTTGGGAGATAGGTTTTGCTCCTGATCGACTAGATGGGGCAGAGTAGAGAAGACAGGCTATCCCGATTTTTGTGGCCACTTTCTAGGCCTGTGGACTGTGCAAGCAAGGAGCACAATTTTTTGAATGTTAAAGATATTTTCAAACTGCTGTGAACTGCCTACCAGCTGCGCCTGAAGTGGCCCCAGTAATCTCCGTACTTGGCGTGTTGCCCCCTAGTGGATGGATGGTCGCAACTGCGTGCTCGGCAGCCAAGCCACAGTCTTCTAGGGCCTGATGCCACTGCTGTTAGGTGCCCTCCAGTCGGTTCAGACTCATAGTGACCCTATGTACGACAGAACGAAACACTGCCAGATCTTGGTGCTATCCTCACAATTGGTGCTATGTTTGAGCCCATTATTGCAGCCATTGTGTCTTCCTCTTTATAGCTGACCCTCTACTAAGCATGATGTCCTTCTCCAGGGACTGGTCCCTCCTGATAACATGTCCAAAGTATATGAGACAAGTCTTGCCATCCTCGCTTCTAAGGAGCTCTCTGGCCGTGCTTCTTCCAAGACAGACTTGTTTGTTCTGGCAGTCCATGGTATATTCAATATTCTTTGCCAACACTTCAAATGCATCAATTCTTCGGTTTTCCTTATTCATTGTCCAGCTTTTGCATGCGTATGAGGCAATTGAAAATACCATGACTTGGGTCAGGCACATCTCAGTCCTCAAACTGACATCTTTGTTTTTTTTTTAATAAACACTTTAAAGAGATCTTTTGCAGCAGATATGCCCAATGCAATACACCGTTTGATTTCTTGACTTCTGACGTTGCTAGTGTGTTCCCCACCTCCCCAAGAAATTGGATCAGGAATCAAAAGGATAAATTTGCATCCGCTTTTCTTTTCCTTGTCCACGAGTTCAGGGCCCCATGAAATGCAGCGCAGCAGAGCCTGGGGTGGCTGGGGACTGCGTCTTGCGCGACAGGTTGTACCCTGTTCACCTTCCCATCCTTTGAAGACTGGTCCAGAAGAAGGTCACATCACCAAAAAGGCCCATCAACACAAACGTGAATTTAGACTCACAAATTCAATGGCTTTTAGGCTGGGAGCCCTGGTGACACAGTGGTTAAGAGCTCATCTGCTAACCAAAAGGTCAGCAGTTCAAATCCACCAGCTGCTGCTTGAAAACCCTATGCAGCTGCTTGAAAACCCTATGCAACAGTTCTACTCTGTCCGATAGGGTTGCTACTTGCTGTGAGTTGGAATCCGCTCGATTGCAACTTTTTTGTTTTTTTTTGGTTCTATGTTTGGGTGAGGAGTATCAAGGACACATTGTACAATTAATGTTTATGTTATTAAGAAGGAAATTATTTGTAAAATGAAGTCCAAAAAACTATCTACCAAACATGCTATGTTATTTAATTATATGAGAAATGCCTGTGTGTGTGTATTAGTTTTTTTTTAATCACTGTGTAACAAATGACCATAAATTCAATGGCTTAAAACAACACCCATTTATTTTCTCAGTTTTGTCGATCAGAAGGTGTGGCATAGCAGCTTTTTCTGCTTAGAGTTTCACAAGAATGAAATCAAGGTGTCTGCTGACTAGATTTCACTGGAGGTATGCAGTTCTTTTCCACGCTTTCTGGTTGTTGGCAGAATTAATTTCCTTTCGATTATAGGTCTGGGTTGTAGGACTGAGGTCCCTTTTGTCTTGCTAACTGTTGACTGGAGGCCATCCTTTAACAGACCATCTAACTTTCCAATCTCTCTGACTTTAGGGAAGTCCTGGAGTCTTAAGGGCTCACATCAGATCAGGGTTCACTTTTAGATCAGATCCACTCAGATAATCTCCCTTTCGATCTAATCCTAAAAGTGATATCCCCTCATAATCACAGGTTCTGCCTAGTGCTGTAAGGGTAGGGGATTATTTCCACAGGGTATGCTCTTGTGGGAGAAAAGGGCAGGAATTTTGGGAGCCTTTCGCAGATTGAAATACCATATTTCAATCAGTTTGAAGAGCAAACCATGGCTATAAGAGATAATAGGCTGACTTGACCCAGTAAAATCTTTTTCTTACATCATTTAGTCTTTTTTTATTTTTTTATACACTAGTTTTGATGTGAAGAACAGTGATGTCTGGGGAAGTGAGTAAGAGGCAAGGAAGCTGGATGTCCTTCACCCCTTCCACTGGGAGTTCTGGTTAGGGCCAGCATTCTGGCATCATGCTGATAAGGCTTGGTGTCCACCTTTCCCCATATAAAAATTGCCTGTTTCGAAGGAAAAACTTTATGTTAAAACTCAGCACCTCAGGAAAGACTTCTTTCAGTTTCATGATAATATGATTTTTAAATCAGAAAATGCAAATAATTGTTAGTATAACTTGGAGAGTCTAGAAATTAAAAGAATTTCCATGCATTGACTATAGGGTCTCTATGAGTTGGAATCAACTTAATGGCAATGGATGTGGTTTTTTTTTTTTTTGGTTTCCATGCATTGAGGAAATATTTATTAAATATTTTCTTTATACTCTTTGAGAAGATATAAGTAACAAATAACACATAAAGGGGATAGTCTCTACCTTTTGAGGAGTTTGTAGTCTAGTTTTATTTAAATATCCATGCTTGAAAAAAAAAGGAAAAACGGAATTTTCACCACTTAGGCCTTATATGACTTCTGCCTACCACTGCAGCCTCCTTTCAGATTACTTTCCTAATCTTTCTGCTTCTTGCTTGTTTCAACCTCAGAGCATTTCATAATGTCTAGAAATTTCTTTTTGCTAGTCAGATTCCTAATTATACTCACACTCCTTCTTAACTTAAATACTACTATTAGAAAAATTTTCTGTGACCCCTCAGACTGTATGAAGTCCTCTCTTATGTATTCTCATATCATCTCATAATACTTGCTTCATAATGATTTATGTTATATCTTCCCTATTTTTGTGTAGGATACATGATGACATTTAGTGGGTGCTCCACAAATATTTGTTGCATAAATGAACGTTTGAATATTTGCCTCATGGTAGCTTCACGGTAGAACCTAACACATTTTCTAGTGGGAGAGTAGGTTGGAAGCATGAGGTTATATCACTTTTAGTGAGCTTTGAATACTCATCTGAGTTGATTGAACTGGAGGCACCAGAGATTTCTAGGTTCTTAGGACTGACGGGGCAGTGGTGGTAGAATTCTCACCTTCCATACAGGAGACCAGGGTTCAATTTGTGGCCAATGCACCTCATGTGTAGTCACCACCGTCTGTCAGTGGAGGCTTGTGTGTTGCTGTGATGCTGAACAGGTTTCAGTAGTGCTTTCCAGACTAAGACAGACTAGGAAGAAATGGCTTTGTTCCGTCATGCATGGGGTCGCCATGAGTTAGAGGCTGACTGGATTGCCACTAACAACCATAGGATTGACATCATGAAAGCAATGTTTTTTTCAAGTCCAATTCGGTAATGTTGGTAGAATGGATTGTGCACAGGACAGCCTAGAATGGTGGTTCTCAAACTTGAGTGTGTAGAAGAATCATCTGGGTATCTTGCTAAAGCTACAAATTCCTGCCTTATATTCCCTTCTCCTCCAGTTTGATTCAGTCCAAGAGAATAGCCACTAGCCACATGTGGCTCTTGAGCACTTGAAATGTGCTTGTCTGAATTGGAATGTGCTACAAGGGTAAAATACATACATAACATTTCAAAAACATACAGAAAAAAGAATATACAGTATCACATATTAATATGTTTTTTAATTGATTATATATTGAAATGAGTCTTTGACATACACTGGATTAAATAAAATGTATTATTAAAATTAATTTAATCTGTTTCTTTTTAAATTTTTAATGTGACTTCTAGAACATTTAAAATTACATATGTGACTTGTGTTATATTTCTGCTGGACAGTGGTAGTCTATGGGATCTAGGAGGTAGCATGTTTAACTAGCATCCCAAATGATGCCAATTCTCAGAGCACTCTTTGAAAAGCGATAAACTAGAATGAGTATTTTAGTAATGCAGGGCTAGAAAGTTGAGAATCTGGACTAGGTGGATGCCAGAGAGGCAAAATAAGTGATATGTCAGAGAAAGCCATTTTGAAACGAGAGTTGATGACAGATATGAATGAAAAATGAAATAGTAATACAGATAAACCAAAGATGACAAGCCTGCAATAGAGGATAGTATTGGTCAAAGCATGAGCAAGTTAGAAAGAGCTGCCCAAACTCTGAGCCTGTACTACTTCTTATTTATCACCACAATAACACGATTGTAGAAGCTGTGGAGGTACTTCTTCTCCATTAACTTTTGGATGATCAGTTTGGCATTGACCCCAACTTAACCAAAACATTCAGACTTGTCTTTACAGAATGTTTTTAAAAGGTTGTTTTCAGTTACTTTATTTTACTTTTATTCACAATCAAGTAAAATTTTTTCTAATGTGCATTGTTGAGGAGATGGCTATTTGGACAGGGTGAAGTATAAATTAAGATTTTTTTTTCCCTGAAGAAAATTCAAGCAGAGCATATAACAAAACAAATAAACTTGTATTAATAAGAAAAGATAACTATGAAAAAATGTGTCATAAATAGGCCTATATTCCATATTAAAAAAAACAAACAAAACAAAACCTACCGCCGTCGAGTAGATTCTGATTCATAGTGACCCTAAAGGACAGAGTAGAACTGTCCCATAGGGTTTCAAACGCTGTCATCTTTACAGAAGCAGACCACCATATCTTTCTCCCGCAGCGCAGCTGGTGGATTCAAACCGCCGATCTTTTGGTTAGCAGCCGAACTCTTAATATTCCATATTAGTGTGCTGAAAACATAGAAATACTCATAAAAATTTGGCAAGAATAAACTTGGAATTTAAGAATGAAAAAAAAATTAACGACCTAGTTGAATTGTCTTATAGATGAGGAAACTGAGATCCAGAAAGGATATACGGTTTGTCAGAGGTTCAACACCTGGTTAGTGAAAGATAGAGTAGTAGGATCTAGGGTCCTAACTTAGTCTCATTTTTAAATTATATCTATTTGAAGCCACATTAAAAGATACTCTTATTTTTTTTAAGTTTACTTTGAAAAAAAATTAACTGATTTTATGTTAATATACAAATAGTTCCTACCCCCAGAAGATGGCACTGTTTACATGTGAAATAATACCTTTAAAAAATTTCAGTCCGTGTGTATGTGCTTCAATTCGAGGTAAAAAGTTTTTTTTATTTAAACACTTAAAACAGGATTAGGCAAAGTAAGGTCTGTGAGCCAAATCTGGCTTGTATGACCCACAAGCTAAGAATTTTTTTTTAAAAAGGGTTGTAAAACAAACAAAAAACCCCTGAAGAATATTGGCAGAGA